AGAGCAAGTTGCTCTCTGATCTATTTTCTCTCTCTCTTGAACCTCAAGAGAAACAGTAATCCTGTCGTATTAGGGCTGTTTTGATCAACCCTTTTTTGTTCAGTCTACTTTGCGCAACCAGGAGGAGAGATTTCATTACATCTCTCTTGGGAGACATTGGTTTGAGGCTAAACTTCAGATCTGGTGTCGCCTAGACCAGATCTATTCTCCCTACAAACAGCATCTGATTTAGTGAAGTCTTCGAAAGAGTTCTAATCTTCTTCTTGGGGCGGCAACACTGTACAGTTTCCTTTTCTGGACTGCAACAGCTTTGGACTTCAGATCTGGTGTCGCCTAGACCTGATCTATTCTACCTACAAACAGCATCTGATTTGGTGAAGTTTTCGAAGGAGTTCTAATCTTCTTGGGGCAGCAACGCTGTACAGTTTCTTTTTTTTTACTTAAGGCCTTCTACATCAGCCTATGATTTGAGTTTTTCTCTCCAGATTGAAGGGTTCTATCAAGCTCTTCTAAACCCTAAACTCAGTTTCTAGTTTGGATTTTAAGGACTGTTTCGATCAGCACAAGATACCTCCTTGTTCTTGAAGAAGATGCCTGATGTGTTGGTAAATCACAGTTTTCTCTCAATCGGCTGACTCGATCAACCTATAACCCTAAGTCTGGTGTCAACCTAGGGTTTTCTTGCTTCCCATTTACTTGATTCAGACTTCAGATTCATATTTGAAAGGTTTTAGACTCGACAATCTTAAAAGCTTGCCTTTTTTGGACTGTCTTCTTGAGTTCTTGATTGCTGAATTTGGTTGTCTCTGATATCCTTGTGCCTAGACTGTTGTTTTCTTGCTGAAATGGCCTCTGATAGAGACGATATTATTCCTATAAAACTGGAAGGATCTACCTATGAAATTGACACTGCTGCTGTAGCACATGGGAGTAAGAAATCTACTACTGGTGGTGATTCTTTTGTTAAAGGTGATTCTCTGGCATCTATGGTCGAGGAAAACATTCGACAACTGGTAACATCTGCTACTTCTTCTGCTCTTTCTGCTATTGGCTTACCTGGTGAGTTTTCTGGTTATTGTGCTTCTCCTTCTCATATTTGGATCATTGACTCTTGAGCTACCAACCACATGACAGGAGCCTACCCTAACCAACCAAGTAACCTTACTGAAACCCATCACAAACATATTGTTACTGCCAATGGTGAAAAGTTAAACTTCATTGGTAGTAGTGATTTGTCTCTTAAGCTTTCACCCACTGCATCTTTCCCTCTTACCAAGACCCTTCTTGTTCCTAATCTCACTACAAATTTGATTTTTGTTGGCCAATTAGTTGATGAAGGTAACATTCTCATCTTCTCTCAGGATGGATGCTTGATTCAGGACCGGAACACTAGAAAGGTGAAAGGAAAGGGGCACAAGTTGGGCCGTTTGTTTGCATTGGAGTTCAAGAAGTCTCAAACAGCATCATCATCATCTTATTTCAGTTCCTCCACTTCTAGTTCCTTTCTAAGTCATAGAAATAATGTTTGGGACTTATGGCATAAACATTTGGGTCATTTACATGCTGAAAAATTAAAATTTTTGTTTGATTCAAGCCTTATTAAGAATAGAGTTCCTTCCTTGCACACATTTGATACATCTTGTGTTTCTTGTTGCTTAAGTAAGAGTCGTACCTTACCATTTCCTCACATATCTGAGCATGCTACCTCTCCCTTCGAGCTTATACATAGTGATGTCTGGACTGCATCTGTCACTTCTTGACTTGGATACAAATATTTTGTGTCATTCATTGATGATTGTACTAGGTACACATGGATATACTTTCTCCGCCACAACTCTGAGGTGTTCCCAACATTTAAGCTATTTCATGCTATGGTACAGGTTCGATTTCAAACACAAGTGTGTATTCTCCGTTCGGATTCAGGGGGAGAATACACTAATGGAGATTTTTTATCCTATTTGAAGAACCATGGAATACAAGTGCAACAAAGTTGTCCAGATACTCCTCAGCAGAATGGTGTGGCCAAGTGCAAGAACGGACATATCCTTAATGTTGTGAGGACATTATTGCAAGAGTCCCATACTTCACCTTCTTTTTGGGTAGAGGCAGCCAGTACAGCTATTTTGATCAACTATATTCCTTCCTCTGTTCTTGGTAATATGTCTCCCTTTCAGAAGTTGTTTGGTCGTTCTCCAAATTTATCTATGCCTTGTGTTTTTGGATGTGTGTGCTTTATTCATCTTCCCTCTCGTGAATGCTCTAAATTGTCTGCACAGTCTGTCATGTGTGCCTTTCTGGGTTACAGTCCTAACCACAAAGGATTACTTTGTTTTGATCCCCCTATTCGTCGCATTCGTATATCACATAATGTTGTTTTCCTTGAATACAATTCCTTTTTTGATGGAATTGCTAGACTGTCTACACTGTCTGTTTCTATTTTTCCAAACTTTGATTTACAGGATGCTCCACCTCCTTCTGCTGAGAAGGACCTTCTCGTCTTCTCTCGCAAGCGGTTACGTGATACAGCCCTTGTGCCTACGATTCTCCTTCCTCCCAATTCAGATCATCATCTTACCACTGCTCCTATAAGTGATACATCTACTTCAGACACTCTACATACTTCTATTCCTCTTCGTCGTTCTACTCATATATCTAGACCTCCTAACCTCTATGGTTTTCCTTTTAAACCATAGCTCTTTGTCTATTGTCCTATCCTCCACAGATGTTCCTTGCTCCTACCAGGAAGCTAATAGTAGCCCTCATTGGAAGGAAGCCATGGATGCAGAGATTCATGCTTTACATGAGAATGACACTTGGGACCTTGTGCCTGCTCCTCCAGATGCATCCATTGTTGGAAGCCGTTGAGTTTGCAACATCAAGCTGAAATCTGATGGATCTCTTGATCGATACAAGTTAGTTGCCCAAGGATATAGTTAGGAGTATGGTATCGACTATGAAGAAACCTTTGTTCCTATTGCAAAGATTACCACAGTCCGTGTTCTTTTAGCAATGTCTACCGCTCAGTCTTGGACCATATGCCAACTTGATGTGAAGAATGCCTTTCTTCATGGTCAATTGAAGGAGATGGTCTACATGAAGCCTCCTCTTGGATATTGCAGTGATCCTTCTTTAGTATGTCGCCTCAAAAACAAGCTGGATATATGGTCTAAAACAAGCTCCCCTGGCTAACTGCTGCACTCACACATCTCCATAACACTCTTCCTCTTTTCGTTGGCCACCTAAAGAAGTTAGAAACAAACAAGATCTGCACATCTGTCGGAGGACACCACCTACACCCGAACAATGAAAAAACACACCAACGAGGGAATAAACACCAATTAGTTCTTTTCATTTGGATTAAATCACAGGTATTGGTTCTTTCAAGAAAGACTTACTCTTGGAGGGATGGGCTTATCCTGCACCTCCTTAACAGGAAAAGGTGGCCCCAAAGAGTCAACATGTATAGTTAGAGCTTTGAAAAAGGAGGCACATGAGTAGGCACCATAAGGGTAAAGGGTCCAAATTCGGCTGTCAGTACAAGATCTAACACCCTTATGAATAGTAATAGGAAGATAAATATTATCACTTATAGGAAGGAAAGTGGAATTAGAGATACCTAGTTGAGGATGCAGATTTGCCTCACGAGAGCTTAGCAATTGAAGGTATATAGCTTCTAGTTCCATCTTTGGAGTGGAGATAGGGGACAACTCTTTTGGAAACAAGAGTACATACACAAGGGTTGAGGAGGAGGTGAATGAGACATAGGCATAGGAACTAGGGGTGATCACGGTTTGGTTAACCAAACCATGGGGTATTTTTTGAAACCGAACCAAATCAACCGGTTAACTAGTTAATCAATTTCAGTTTTTGACTGGTTCAGTTCTTTAGTTTCTCAATTTTTTATATTTATAATATATTTTATAGATAAAAATATATAATATATTATATTAAAAAATAACATATGATATATTATATATTATAAATAGACAATTATAAATATAATATATTTATATATAATACATATATATTTATATACAATACATAGATAATATATGATATATTAAAAATATAATATATAAGTATATATGCCGGTCAATTCGGCTAACTGCCGCTCTTTTAGGTTAAACAAAAACTGAACTGGTCCTTCGATTTTTCAAAAATACCGAACCAGTCAGTTTGGTTTTTCATTTTTTCCGATTTTTTATGAGCCCCTAATAGGAATCTCGATGATAGAACTTTGTTAATAACTTTATACAAGCTAGTCACCAAGCTAATTGGTCTGAACTCTTTAGGATAACAACTATTGGGTTTCTTATGTATCAAGAAGTTCTTTCTCCCCCCATTAACCACAACATGAAAGAATTTAGTGTTACCATCTACCTCCTTGATCCATTTATATCTAAATTTTTGCCTCTAATAAATTTAGTGTTACCATCTCCCCCTACCCCCCTCAAGCTGTCTTTGAGCTTTCCTTTAGTCAAATACCCTATTTAGCATTTGTAATTTCTCGTGAAATTCTACTATTTGTCACTTTGCAAGGTTCTAACAAACAACTATTTGTCAAAAAATTGTTTGAGTAGCAGACAGCCAAATTGTTTGGAGCATCAAATTTATAGATGAGATCGCAAGTTGGTTTTACAGGAGCATTTGGTTGGCAAATGCTACTTAGCTTTGGTACAAGAATCAATATAGAGATGTAGAGAAAAGGAGCATATTGCAATAATTAACCACTCTAATGTCTACAATGTAGATTCTAGTCATTATTATAAAAGATAGGGATTTCATGTTTCACTTTCTTGTGCCTAACTGGTACTGTTATGTGCTGAGAATATTCTGTTTGTCAATAAGTTATCACCTGATAATATAAAACATGCATAATTTGACATAATTGTGCATAAGAGAAGGACAAATATCAGTAAATCAATGGAAAAGTATACAAGACAAAAGAAAGAAAGGAAAATACACCATTCAAACTTTCTAACAGAGGGAAAATGAGAAACCTGACGCCCACTATCATCAATTGGTATGCACTCAACAGCAATAATTTTGTCAACATCATCAGCTGTGACTACATAATCTGGAACTGTGGCTCCTGATCAAAAAAATGCAAATACAAATTCTAAGAAGTATGCAGTATATTTTTCAAAACAATGATAAAAAAATAAATATAAAACATAGAAATGCTTTTTCAAACACATTCCAATGCATACCCTCAATATACTGTCTGGTGCCATTTTGAAGATGACGTACCCACTATAAAGACAATCCAACAATATCATTACAAGGAAATATTCTATAAATCATAGCCAATTGAAAGAATTCTGCTTATGGAACAGAAAATGTAAAGTAGAAGAAACAACAATTGGATGAAAAAGAAACAAGATCAAAAAGTACCTGAAATATACAAAGAGAAGTCCCACGTACAGGAAAGCCACATGCTTGCAGTGTATTTCCTGGTTTAGCCTCACCAATAATCTGAAAATCTTCTATGCTCGGCAAGAGAACTCCTGGTGGAAATAAATAATTTTAATCTCTAAAAGACATCATTTACCTATTATAGTTTGTAAAGAACCATTACCTTCTGAGATAGAGGAACCATGCTCCTCATCTGTAGTTGGCAAATGAAATTCAGCACCAGTCATTGGTGCAGTAAGTTCTTCAACCCCCCTGTGAAGATATGACCCCTTAGTATGTGCTAAAAGGACTTGCTGTCACCTACCAAAATAGCTACTATAATTCCATGGCCTGCGTATACATTAATTAGATATTTTTTTCATACATGTATAACCTGTATGAACACAATTTACACAAAAAAAAAGATAGAACACAGAACAACTTGTAACCTGAAAAGGAGATCTCTTGCTAAAGTTAGGTTTATCCAAATTTGGTCAAACTACAAACACTGGATATAGCCCTCAACAATCCACTTAGTCAAAATCTAAAATCTGTCAAATACTTGTGCATGGAAAATAGATTGTTTTGCCAATATACCTCTATTTTCACCAAAAAGCAACCTATCTAGACTTATATCCCAACTAGCCTTCAAATGTCATCAAATGGCTAGCTCATTGCTGGTAGAAGTAATTGATGGGCATCAATCCAGGGAGATAAAACAAACTAACTGACAACCTGGACAGCATAAGAAATGTTTGGCCATGTCATTGTAAGATAAATCAAACTGCCTATAAGTTGTCTTTAAAGAGTAGCATCATGTAGGGGTTAACCATCACCCTTAGACAATCCCAGATTGTGAGTCTATGTTATGGCATAAGCGTAGCGCTCATTGTCTTTTCAAACTTTTTAATTATTGTTTCCTCAGTTGTTTAAGCCTATGCTGGTGTCAAGTTTGGACTATGATACATGTTAGTTGGCTAAACATTGAAGTTCTTTTAATCTTAGTAATAAAAGAAGCAATTCTTTATTTGATCGTGTGCATACTGATGTGTAGGGACCTTATTCTACTCCTTCTATAGGTGGTTACAAGTGTTGAGCTATTAGGCCGTATGCTTTATTTCTTAGTTCTTTCTATATTTATAGAACTAGGTTGTTATTGGCCTTAGTTTATTACTTTCTTAGGTGTTTATTAGTGCAACCACCCTATTAAGGGCTCTCTTGTAATTTTACATTTTTAATGATTAGAACTAATATTAAGGGTGGCTGGGAGACTGTTTGATTATCTACAACCAAAACCCTATTTCTTTCTATCAACTTTTCTCTGGTGCTTTGAACCTTTCTCGGCTATTTTCTGCTCATTTTTCTTGGTATCATAGTAATGATCTTTCTCTTTTCTCTCTCTTGAGTCTGTACACTTGGGTGCTGCCGCCCAGTTGTAGGAGAATTTAGAGATCTCAGAGGTTGGTTTTGAAGCCTAGAAAGATTCCTGGAGATTTCTGCCCAAAATCTAGACTACTAGAGAACAATATGATCTTGGTCAAGGTAAGGGTTAAATAGGTGTTTTGAGATTGGTGCTTGGGACTTTGTACGAGCTATAGGTGAAACCCTAACTTCAGGAGTGGTGTTAACCGGAGATCAGTTGTCTGGGGTTTGTTCTATCCTTTTTTTTAGTGGCCTTCAGACTGATTTAATTCTGAAATTAGCAAAAATATTGTAAAAAATATAGGAAATATGTCGGAAATATTGTAAAAAATACAGACATGGTGGAAACATTGTGATATTTGCAAAAACATAGAATGCTATTTTATGTAATGATAAAAGATGCATAGCTAGACTGATGTGGACAGTAAGACAAGTTGCATGCAGTACCTCAAGTATACAGCAATAAGCACAAGAAATACCAAGCTGAAAACAACAAAATAAGTTGGATTTTTATGGGTTTCAGACCTGAACCTGAAGTAAAACTCCTCCTGAAACAGTTCCGCTACAGTAACAATGGCAGCAAGCTGGCCTCCCGCGCGGACAAGCAGCGATGGAGGGATTGGAAGGTGCCAAAATGGATCGACTCCTCAAAACCGAAGCTCCCAATGCTTGAAAACCCTAACTGGGGCTGAGCTACAGCTCAAACAAAAGGGAAAGAACCAAAAGACCCCTACAGAAACAGCCCCCTTCTCTTTTACAAGACTCACTAGCTTGCTGGACAAGCTAGTTAAAATATTTACACATAAGCCCCTAGACTATTTCCCTCTCACCAGCAACTCCTTAGGAACAAAACTAACTTCAAATGAACACCTAATAGATAACTTTTGTTACAAAAAGACCCAAGAGACCAAAACCCAACAGAAACCCAACTGCCCCTGACCAAAAATCTGACTTATAAAATGACGAAAATACCCCTGGTCCCAAACTGTCAACAAAGCTACCCAAAGACAACAATTTGGGAGACCACTACAAAAACATGCAAAACAGAACACATTCACAGTTTTTTTTCACATTTTTTTCATTTTTTTTCTTCTTTTTTTTTTGCCTCATCATTCCCGCCGGGTTAAACAAAGCTCGACCCCGTGCAAGCAGCAATTTTAGCAGCCTTGCACACGTTTCCATCTAGCTTCATAAACTCCTCTTCACTAATCCAAGATTTCTCAATTGATGGTTTTCCTTTCCATTTGACCAAGAACCTAAAATAGGCCCCATTTCGAGTGTTGGTGACTTAAACATCTTCTACACCCTCTACTTGTTAAAACTCATTAGAACTAATGGCCCTTTGTGCTTGTCCTCGCCCATCCTTTGTTGATGGTTCTAGATCCCCATGGTAATCAAAGCGGTCTACTACATTAAAAATGGGTGAAATGGACAAATCAGTTGGTAGCTTAATTTCATATGCATTGTCACCAAACCGTCTCAGCACTTGACATGGACCAATCTTTTTTTGCTTCAACTTATGGTAGGTACCAACAGGAAACCTCTTAGGCCGCAAATAAACCATGACTAGATCGCCCTCATGAAACTCCTTCATCCGACGATGCTTATCCTTAGCTTCTTTATACCTTTAGTTGCTTTCTTTCAGCTTCTGTCGTACATTCTCTTGAATCTCTCAAATGGATTCAGCAAAAGCTTCGGCATCATCACTCACTCGTCGCAACCCTGTTATAGGAGCTAGATCAACAACACTTTTAGGTGACCAACCATACACCACCTCAAAAGGAGTCTTCCCTGTAGATCTATTAACTGAATCATTGAAGGCAAATTCAGCTTGGGGTAGGATGAGATCCCATTGCTTTAAGTAGTCTCCAACTAGGCTCCTCAACAAGTTGCCTAGGCTTCGGCTAACCACTTCAGTTTGCCCATCTGTTTGTGGGTGAAATGTACTACAATACTGTAGCGTAGTACCCATACACTTCCATAAAGTTCTCCAGAAGTGGCTAAGAAATCTTGTGTCACGATCTGATGTGATAGATCTTGGCAATCCATGCAACCGAACAACTTCTTTGAAAAACAAGTTAGCTACATGAGAAGCATCAGAAGTCTTTTGGAAACAAATAAAGTGGGTCATTTTAGAGAAACGATCAACCACAACAAAAAGAGTCATTACCCCTAGTAGTTCTTGGCAACCCCAACATAAAATCCATAGTAATATCAGTCCATGGTGCTTCTGGTATGGGTAAGGGAAGATACAAACCTATATTTTGATGTTGCCCCTTAAATGTTTGGCACTTGTAACATCTATCAACATAATAGAATACATCCTTTTGTATCCTTGGCCAAAAGTACCTATTGGAGACCATTTCAAGTGTCTTCTTACAACCAAAATGTCCCTTGCAATGTAAATCAGCAATGAGTAATGCCCTCAATGATCCTGATGGAATACATAACCTATTGCCCATGAATAAGTAACCATCATTCCACACAAACTTGGCTCGAATGTCCTTGTCACCTGCTGCATAGCTTCTACAAATAGGGCCAAAATAAGGGGCATCTTGGTATTGGTCTTTGATGGAGTGGAATCCCACAACATTAGTAGACATTGTTGACACCAAGTGAACTTTCCTACTAAGGGCATCAGCAGCCTTATAATTCAAAACAAAATTATATTCTTGTAGAAAGTCAACCCATTAGCATGTCTTCCCTTTATCTTTTGTTGTGAGTTAAGGTGTTTCAATGCTTCATGGTCTGAATACAACACAAACTCCCGTTGGATAAGATAATGCCCCCAAAACTTCAGATCTTGCACAATGGCATAAAACTCCACATCATAAGTAGAATACCTCCTTCTAGCATCATTAAGTTTCTCACTAAATTAAGCACTTGGACGGCCTTCTTGGCAAAGGACAATTCCAATCCCAACATGGGATGCATCACATTCAACTTCAAAGAGCTTGTTAAAATCAGGTAAAGCCAATACCAGAGCCTTCATCATCCTCATCTTTAGCTCTTGGAAGCTTTTCTTAGTTTCAAGAATCCAAGTAAACTCACCTCCTTTCAAGCATTCAGTAATGGGTGCCACAATAGTGCTGAAATTCTTTATAAACTGACGATAAAATGTTGCTAGCCCATGGAAACTACGAATTTTAGTTAAGGTCTTTGGTGTTGGCCACTCTTGAATAGCTTGAACTTTTTCTTGATCCACCTCAATCCCCTTGGCTGAAACAACATACCCCAAAAACACCAATCGACCTGTCATAAAATTACACTTCTTCAAATTTATATATAGCTGATTTTGTCTCAAAACTTCTAGGATTGCTCTCAAGTGTTTTATGTGGCTATCATGATCTTTGCTATGGATGAGTATGTCATCAAAATAAACTACCACAAACTTCCCCATGAACAGCCTTAAAACTTGGCTCATGAACCTCATAAAGGTGCATTAGACAACCCAAATGGCATACCCAGCCATTCATAAAGTCCTTCCTTAGTCTTGAATGCAGTCTTCCACTCATCTCCCTCTCGGATACAAATTTGATGGTATCCACTCTTCATATCTATATTTGAAAAGACTTGTGAGCCAGCCAATGTGTCTAACATGTCATCAAGGCGGGGTATGGGAAACCTGTATTTGACTGTAATTTTGTTAATGGCATGGCTGTCAACACACATACGCCAACTACCATCTTTCTTTGGTATGACAAAGCTGGTACAGCACATGGGCTTAAGCTTTCACGAATCAGCCCCTTCTTCAACAACTCTGTAGCTTGTCTTTGGAGCTCCTTATGCTCCTTAGGACTCATTCTATAGTGGGGTAGGTTAGGCAATGCTGCTCCCAGCATTAAATCTATATGATGTTGTACATCTCTTAGGGGGAGGAAGGTCATTGGGTAATTCTTCAAGCATCACATTAGTATACTCATGAAGTAGCTTCTTCACCAACTCTGGGACAGGTGTTTCTTTGCTAACTTCTTTTGTAACCAGCACGTAAATAACATCCAAATTCCCGTCTTCTTGAGCTAATTTATTTGAGGTGAAGAGAGTAGTGGTTGGCTTTGTTTCCTTCTTTGGAAATGAATCAAGTTGCATTGGTTTAAGAGTTATCTTCTTATTGTCTTTCACAAAGTTGTATGTGTTCTTGTCCCCATAATGAATGGTCTTACGGTCATATTGCCATGGGCGACCCAAGGGAATATGGCATGCATCCATTGAGACAACATCACACCATACTGATTCTTCAAATGTGTTACCAATAGAAAAATTAACTAGGCATTTAGAAGAAACTCTTACCTCATTTCCTTTGTTGAACCACAAAATATGATATGGTCGGGGGTGTTGAACAGTCTTGAGCTGTAATTTATCCACCATCTCTTGAGAAACAAGATTCCCACTGCTCCCACTATCAATAATAGAGTTACACAACTTTCTGCCAGTTGTACAACGTGTTCTAAAGATATTCTTTCTCAACCAATCCCCTGGTAGTGGTTCTTGAGGTGCAACCATAGGATGTCGTATCACTAGAGCTTCACCCACAATATCCCCATCCAAGTTTTTTTCCTCTAAAGCATTAGCTTCAATAGTTTCAACCACTTGCCCATCCTCAACATGGCCTATATCATCTTGTTGTTCATCAGTGACTTCATTAATCAGATGTGTTTGCCCTTCAACCCTTCTCCTAGGACATTCATTTGAACGATGCCCCAGCTCTATACACCTAAAACATCTAATAGTAGGCTGCTGCCCTTTAAGAACTTTGCACTTGTGGCCAAACTAAACCCCACAAGTCTAGTTCTCTCTATTGCAACAAATTTCTCTTAGCCTTTATATCAATTAGATGTCAATAACATTTTCCTTCATGAAAACTTATAAGAAGATGTGTTACATGTGTACATGTTGCCGCCTCCAATATTCACTATCCCAAGTAAGGCTAAAAGAGTATTTTTCTTAATAAGATAATCAATATGTTAAAACAATCTCTAAGGACATGGTTTGACGGACTCAATAAGGCAATAAAGAAGTTTGAATATTAGCAGAGTTGTGCAGAACATACCTTACTTGTAAAGCACAAAGGAAACCTTACTACTATATTGATTGTATGTAGATGATATAGTAGTAAGTAGTAACTAGCAATTACCCCTCTAAGACTGAGAGTCTGATAGGATTCCTAATCTCTAAAATTGAAATAAAGGACTTAGGAAACATAAGTATTTTTTGTGCATAGAAATGGCATGATCAAGATAGGTATCTTTCTATCCTGATGCAAACCTGTAGAAACTCCTATTGACCCCAATCACAAACTCATCTCTAACAAAGGAAAATTAATAGAAGACAAGAGGAGTTCCAAAGATTAGTACAGAGACTCCTAGAGTATTCACTAATCAGACTTGGCATTGCTTTTATTAGAGTTATGAGTCAATGCATGCATGCTCCAAGAACTCCTCATCTTGAGGCTACCAAGTGAGTCTTGAAGTATGAAATCTTCTAGGAAAAGGCATTATGTTTACTAACAATGGACACTTCAAGGTGGAAGCTTATATTGGTGCTGATTAGGCAGGCTATCAAGATGACTGATGACCAAAGGTTTACTCCCAGCTATTGTATATTGGTTAGTCGGAATCTTGTGACTCAGAAGAAAAAGAACCAAAATGCTGTAGCTTGGCCTTGTGTATAAGCAGAATTTAGAGCTATTGCCCATCATCTCAGAATTAGTGTGGTTAAAACTATTGTTGGAAAAGCTTGCAATGACAGTTGAAGTCCCACGAGACTCTACTATGAGCAAAGCAGCCATCAATATGACTCATAATCCTGTCAACACGATCAAACCAAACATACTGAAGTTGACAGACATTTCATTAAAGATAAAATCAACTCAGAAGAGATTCTCCTGATGTTTGTACAAACAATGATCAACTAGCAAATTCTAACCAAATAAGTTACTAAAGCTAAGCTACAAGCCGTTTTGGCAAGTTGAGCATTAAAAACATCTATATCAACTAGAGTTGAAGTGTCTTAGGAAATTGTACATACTAGAGTACAGGTATTGTTGTCTTTATCTTAAAAAGGGTACATTGTCTTTCTGTACATGAATAGGTGTATTCTCTAACTTTTTCCCTTTCCCTAATCACTCAACTCTCTCTCCTCTTCTCCCCTTCACCTCATTCTTCTTCTCTTCTCTTTCTTTTCTTTCAGTTCAGCATCAGAACACACATTTATACATATGCTAACCATGGGGCATGCATATATTGACTAACCACTCCAATAGCATAGAATATGTAAGTCTGGTAAAGGAGAGCTATATCACCAGCCAACTAATGTTTGGAGTTTACCTCTATCTCCTCAAACAACTATCCTCATAGCATTTATATTATGATTTAGGTATATTGGGATATCAACTGGCTTAGCCCCGAATTCTATCTCCTGTAATGGGTCTAATTCATACTTCTGTTATGAGATAAATATACTCGGCCTTGATCTAGAAACTTCAATCTTATGTAAAATTCCCCAAATCCTTAATTTGAAGTTCAGATGCCAAGTATTTTTTGAGTTTCAAGATTCCAATTGAATAGTTACCTGTCAAAACAATGTCATCCAAATAGACAATGTGTTGCAGTAAACTGCCCCTCTTGCTTAGCAAATAGCAATATGATCAGCTTGACTCTACCTATACCCAAACTTCTTCACTGCAGTGATGAACCTATCAAACCATGATCCATCAACTATACAATGAAAATCATTCTAAATCAGGATTAATCAAATGTTTAGGACGAAATTCATGAATTCACAGGAGCCAAAACATCAAGATCTGTATTTTTCTGATTTTTCACCATAAATTGCAGAAAAAAAATAAATAGGTCCAAACATCATCAACTATATAATGAAAATAACTGTAAACCAAGACCCATCAATTTTTGAGGTTCCTTCTTCATTGGACATAGGCCCTATGCAACCCTACTGACTTCACCGTAAGTTTATTTATGTCAGCAAGAACTATTATTCTCCTCTGCTCAGCGAAAAAGGATGATAATCATCAGATTTCTAATACCAACTTGGAATGATCAAGAATATAAAAGATATCAACTTAGGATTATTGGGGAGGAAGAGAATGAAATCAGATTAGGGCCAGTGATCCATTCTTACTGTTATTTGTAGCCATCTCAAAAAATAATAAGAATACAAAATACCTACAATAACATTTGAGAAAATAATAATGAACTTTACTACCTAGTATGTAATAACTCCAAACACATTGAAGAAGACAACTATATACCTAATCACTTCTAAACATTTGATGAACTTGTGTTATTAAAGCGATGAAATAAGTGCTATACTGGAATAGAAAAAGAAAAAATACCAAATTATTGAGGAGCAAGAAATTAAAATGGTTAAACACTAACTTATTTATAGTAGATGATAATTCCCCCTCGTAATTATTAGGAAATTGCTGCATCTTAACAGGCATTGTGCCTTTCATATCTACCATATTCTGGTCTTGAACAAATCTTGGCATTCCAGAACTAGGCCCCAAATAGTATTCACGTAAATAAGTGTCATCAGTGTAAAGGCCATTTGGAACCTGCAAAGGGATAAGTAATGAAATAAAATTAAGTGAAAAATGGATAACCAAAAAACAATAGTATGAAAGCATGACCAACAATACCGTGGATGTTTGAGGTTGACCATTTGAGACACTGAAAGGCCGGTGATCTTTATTGGAGGATCCATTCGCAATTTGGTTTCCCAACATGGAATCTATTTCTACAATACTAGCCTGTGGTAAAGGGAAAACACTATAAGGTCTATGGTTCTATGATCTGAAGTAGCACTTCCAAGTTTTTAGTATATCTTGTCTGGAAAAATAAGCATCTCTGCCCTCATAATTGAGAGAAGAAATAATACAGATATTAGATCAGTAGGTTCTTCAAGTAAAAGCTGGAAAGATAACCTTAGAGCAAGAAATATGGCATGGATATGAACCTTCATTTTTTCCATGAACTGCATGCATATTTACAAATCAATGAAAAAATATTGTAACAATAACTTCATTGGAACAATGGGATCCAACAGAATTTCAAAAATGAAAAATGAATATCTATGAAGAATATTAGCAACTAATAACAAGCCAAAATCAGCTATGGTACTACTAGTTTTTCTGATTTAGTGGAAAGAAGGAAATAAGAGGACACTTGGCACAAGTTGGGGTGGGTGAGGGGGGAGAGAGAGCAGATAAACATTTCTATTTTCTTGGCATGGATTACAAATAGGTTGCTTGTTGGTTAACCCCTAAGCTGATCAATTTCTTTTCTTTTTGTCCTTTTGTGTGTATGTGCTTGTGAATAGAGAACTTTGTGTTATTTTACCATTATAAAATCTTACATACCCAATGGAATTGTCTACAAATGATAAAATCTTTCAATGAAGTCATTATAGAAACTGGGAACTGGTTGTTAGATTACAGCATAGAAAGGAGGAAGATTGGGGTGTTAATTACTTGCTCAAGAAATGACCATGTTCAAAATATCTTAGATATTAGTGATAAATCCTAATAATTTCCTCTTCTTAGGGAGGTTGGTAAAACAATAAAGGTGTAAAGTGTTAGTGGATCGCCCACACTGTAGTTTGTAGCAGGTTGTGCATGGCTAGCACAAGGGCCTAGGCAGGTCATGCCTGCCTAACCTAGAATCCCTCAAAAGGGAAGCCTAGCACAGCCTGCGGACGAAGCCTAGGTGGGCCCATGCCAGGCCAGACCATGAGCCTGTTCCTTTTTTTGTTTTTCTTTTTTCCACTTGTTTGCTAAGTAGAAAATGACAATTTTTGGAAAAAAAAATTAGCAAAAAGACTTAACAAAATTGATAACAAATTGAAAAGAAAATTCCAAAAATTTTATTTCATTTGGATTTAATGTATATGATTGATCATATAGGAAGTAACAAAATTAAATTGAAAAAAAAAATACAATGGAAATGGAATAAAATAATATAATAAAATTGAAAATAAAAATTTACAATGGGATAGAAAAAATCACAAATAACTTTTAAATAAATTTGAAAAACAAAACTTACAATAATTTTAAAAATATTGTACAATTATTGAATATTTAAAAAATATTGACTTCAAGATTTCCCTCAAGTTCCACCTCCTCCATATCCTTGATCTTGATCTGCATCATCAGGTGAACCATCAGCTGAAGTGCCATGTCCTCCTTGATCTTGCAATCTATCATCTACATCCAACCAATCCTTCAAATATATGCACATCTCCAAACTTTCATCATTCAAATATATGCGCATCATTCAACTAATCCTTCAAATATCTTGCAATCTATCATCTACATCTGCATTAAAACAAGCCTCTGATGGAACTATGAACACTAAAGGGGATAGTAGATCATGTGCCATGGTGGCAAGCACTAGATAATTTTTTCCATGTTCTTTCAATCAAACTAAAATATTAAAAGTACATAATTCCTCAAAAATGAGGAAATAAGTTAAATTAGCATGCAAATAAAAAAGAAGTTCAATAAATGAACTTGTTGATAAAGTAGCAACTAACCGTTGCCTTTAATTTATTAATGACCAAACTTTATCTATTCCACTACTAGAACTAGTGCTCTCAGTAGTGGAGCCTGTACAAGTTCTCCTATGCCCAAATGTTTGTCATTTATTTTTGTATGCGTTTGTGATATACATTTCAAATAATAAGTTTTTAACTTCATCTTTTTTTTTGTTCCAATATCGATTTCCATGTTTCATGATAAGATTCAATAAAACATCTACACCATCTTTTTTAATCCTAGGATCTAATATTGTAGTTAAGCAATATAAAAAGGGAAATTTTTACCAATATTTTTGAAATTTAATTTCCACTACATCAACAACATTTTTAAATTTTAAATTATTTCTATAGTTTACAAAACATTCACTAATTATATACAATTGATTAACAAAAACACAAGACATTGGGTAATAAAAACCCAAAAATAAATTTGTTATACCATAAAAAAGTTGTAAAAAAATCTTTTATACAAATTCCATCTTCCCGATCATCATCAATTATAATTTCATGGGTATTTTCTCATTATAAAATTTAATAAGAATGTCTATATATGAAATACAACCACGTAATATAGTATATGTAGAATTCCACCAATGTTGAACATTTAATACAATATTTTATATTTTATCCCATATTTACGACATGAATATTTAATTTCTTGTTTCTTGTTTCTTGTTTCGAAAGTTCTAATATACAGAATACAATTTCTAATTTAAGAATACGAGGTAAAATAATATTTAAAGCTTCTAGTACACAAATTTAAAATGTGAGATGCACATCTATTACGAAATAACTTTTCATTTAAAGATGGTTTTAATTGAGATTTTAAAGTATTTAACTAAATCATTATTACTAGCATGATCAAAACTAATAGAAAGAACTTTATTTTCAATACCATAAGTTTGTAAAGTATTTAAAATACTTGAAGCAATTGTTGTGCCAGTATGTAGCCATTCAAGTCTTGTTAAACTCAAAAATTCTTTTTTGTAAAAGCCATGATTCATGAATAAAATGCCCTATAACACAAATATAACTAATACTATATTTGGAAGTCCAAATATCAAATGTATGAAAATTTAGAATTAAGATTTGACAAAGTAAAAATCAAATTCTGTTTAAATAAATAAATAATTCTGTTTACCAAGATGCCCCCAAACTAACTGTTTTACAGCTATTAGGGTCATTTAAGTCATTTTTCCTCCAAAGCCAAAATACACAAATACCTCCCCCCCCAACTAGTTGTTTATAGCCGTTGGGGGTATTTCTATAAAACCCCCCAACGAGTGAAAAATAGCCATTGGGAGGTCCCCAATAACTCTATCATTTGGACGAGTCGGCACGTGCCAGCTTCATGTGGTGCCAAGATAGCACGTGAGCTATAGGCCACTTGTTCGTGCTGTGTTGTGTCGGCCTGCGGGCCTCAAAACCCAAGCCCAACATAGCACGGGGATTTTGGGCTAGCACGGCCCAAATTTCTACATGACTAGGCCATGCCTAGCATGGATCATAGGCAACCTGGCCCACTTTACAGCTCTATAAAACAACTCTAGTGAATCCAAAGGTTTCCAAACAAGACCACATTTTGTAAAATTCCAATTACTAAATCCTTGAAATGCAAAATGCACAACCACCACCATTGTGCACAAAGTCCTTGGCCTAGTTGCAAATGCACCATACAGGTGTGCACTTGGTGCATAAATACCTCACTAGAGCACTACCAGAAAGAAATAATGCATAAGCCAAAAGAAATTTCTCTTCCCCGTGAAATATGAATTAATAAGAAAAGAGATAATAAAAAACAGTCTGCATCTTGAAATCTCTACAAAACTGAACCATGAGACGCTTAAGAACATTTTAGAACTCAGTGACATACTAATAATTTAAATAAATCTGTACTCCTTTCAAAATATGAACTTGCTTTTGAACCCATTTATTGTGAGGGCAAACTATAAAGAGGCTTTTAGTTTGAACGTGCATTTATTATGCACCACAAGAATTAATATGAAAAAGTGACATTAATGGTTTTGGTTGTCCTCATTGGTGAGGGGGCAAAATTTTAGTTGACTTAGATTACATTGAAGTAAGCTATCCTATCTTTCCTAACAGATCTCCAGTTGTTACTTTTTCATTTTGGCTCAAAATGGCGAGCATTTTCATCTGTTGGAAACATATTTTGTAAAAAATCACTTATTAAATATGTTGCACTGCTAGTTGGACTCTCAAATTTCTATCTACCTTGATTCAAGTTGCTAGGCCCACAAGTTAAATGGTTGAGAATGGTAATATGCAAGCCTTCTACATAGATATATACTTCAGTTGATTAGTTTATCAATAGAATGATTTAAAACCATGTCATTTTAAATAGAATGTATAGCATCTGGTATTAGTAAATTGTGTTTTCTTAAATAGATTAGTTTCTTTGTGGTGGTACTTTTATAACTTGAAATCCTGAGTAATCATGGTAAAACCTCTTTATCATGTTCACCTGAATATGTTTACATTTGCTAAATAAATAATGGTAAACAGAAAAATTATATTTTCTACAATATTAACCATTTTGGTTAGAAGCAAATTAAACACAAACTACAATCACATTAATGTATATTGTCTAGAAGATGAGAAGAAGAAGAGAAGGAAGAGAGAAGAGAGAAGATAGAAGATAAAAAAAAAATATTTGCGAGCCAAAAAGATAGGCTGGTGGCGCCAGTTTTTGGTATTTATATTAGGGTGGCATAAACAAATAAAAGAAAGGGAGAAATTACAACAGTACCTATGTGGTTCTAATCTGAGTATACTAACAGACTTTAAACACTCCCCCTCAAGTTGGGACGTAGATATCAATCATGCCCAACTTGCCACATAAATCATAATGCCGCAAGTGATGTACCCCTTTGTGAAGATGTCTGCAAGTTGGTCTTTAGAACTAACACATGGGGTACACACTTCCCCTTTGACAACCTTTTCTCCGATAAAATGTTTGTCGACTTCGATGTGTTAAGTTCTATCATGCAGCACTGGATTAGCAGCAATGTTTATGGCTGCTTTGTTATCACAATATAAGATCAGAGGTTCATCAACTGCAAATCCCAACGCACTCAACAAGATTTTTAGCCACATAATTTCAGCCACTCCATGAGACATTGCCCTATATTCAACTTCAGCACTGGACCTAGCCATTACATTCTGTTTTTTGCTTCTCCATGTGATTAGGTTCCC